GCTGCCACGTAACCTTGCTCTCAAGTCAGCTTGGTCAGCTCTCTTCACATATTGCTACAATTTATCATTCACTCAAAAGTTATGCTCACTCTTTGCTAATCAGCGAGTTGAGCTTGCTTCGTTCATTCAAGATCTTTGTAACATATGCAAATTGATTAAACTGTTTTTTTAACTCTCTCTCTAATCCAGGCTTTGCCATGATGGATTCTGCGACCATAATCACTAGCCTTCAAAACTTAGAAAGTTTTATCCTTATTTACAAAGTTTCGAGTCTGATAAAAAAGTCTAGGACCGGAATAAAAAATAGTATCAAAACCACATAATAGACGACTTAAATGAGAACCATTTTAGATTACTATTCATAGTGTGAGTGCGGTTTTGGACAATCGCGCTGTTATGAGCTGAGGCTTACCGAGGCATATACCTCCACGGCTGTTTTCAACCCACCCCATTGCACGCTCTCTTCATGTGGATGATATGATACACACAAAGAGACTGCATAAGAATCGAAAAGGCATGTGGCAAGTCCCTTCCTTGATTAGACTTCTTGAATTTTTTTCTTACCCTGTGTTTACGTCAGAGATTATATATACCCACGCACCAACCCACCCAGACACACACAGATGACAGCAAAAATGCACTTCCCTTCATCAACATCATCATCATCATCATCTTCTCTTAAAACAATTTTCTGCTTGCTCTTGGTTATAATCTCCCTGTTCCTTCCTGGGGCCTCGGCCCCCTTTGCGAGGATAGGAGGTAAGTGATTTTTTTTTTTTTTTTGGGTGCTTTGAGCTTTCAATAAGGGAGGGGGACATGGATTGGGGATCAAGATTCCATGAAACTGTAGTTCACATGGCATGACCCGAGAACATGCAGAAAGTTTTACACTTCGTGGTGTTTTTCTTAACGTTGCTCTGATATTTTGCTACAATAATCGTTTAATAATTTTGGGTAGCGTCTAATCTTTCATATCGATTTTCATTGAATTTCCTCTTGCTTGCAGTTCCGCAATTTTCTACGAGTGGGCGTGAGTACTCTTTTTACTTATATCTCGGTCCTCTCTATCACCTAGTATCTGATCTTTCCTAACGATTTTCATTGAATATCATCTTGCCTATAGCTGTGTGGGGAAGCAAACCTTTTCGAGACGGAATATCGAGTGAGTCCTCTTTTTACTCCATATCTCAAACATTTCCATGACGTTATCTGCCTCTAGTACGATTTATACATGTGTGAATCATTCATTATACATTGTATTACGAAAGCACTTCAACCTTAATTCATCATATATCATATATTCCCTAGTCACATAATCATGCAACATGTCGGATTTGACTTGTGCGTCAAATGATTACTGATACTCCATGAAATTTCATATTTACAATCGTAGTACGTGCATATGCCTAATTTCTTATACATAGTGAGAAGTAGTAATAAAATCTCGATGCTCTGTACCGACACTACTTACGTACTTATTTGCATATAGTAGCATGGTCACGACTCGGTCAATAAGGTTTTCTACAGTAAATTATGTGGGGGGAAAATCGTGGTAATTTCATCATTATGTCAATAATTTCACTGTACTATTCAAATTAATTACAAAATAAACCAATGTGTATCTCGTGATTAATATTTTTCTGGAGTACATGGTAATGAGCTATAAAAGAATAATCTCCCATTCTCAATTAAAAAAAAGGTAAAAAAAAAAAGGACAGTCACACAACATCTACTTAACAGAGAATTAATTTCAATTCTTCTTAGTTCTATCTTTGAACTCTCTATATTCCCAAAGGCAAGTCAGACTTATTTCTTCTTTTCCCTTTATTTCTGTCACACCCCAAATCCTACAGGAATAGGGGTAGTGACACGGCCGTCCTTCTTCTCAAAGGACGTAGCCTCAAACCCTACAAAAAAAAATCAACTCCCAAAAGTCCCCATCATTAGCGCTCTCGAACTATCGGCCACTAACCGAGGAACCTGAAAAACACAAAAGATGAAAGGAATGAGCTATCACGACCTAGTGAGTAATACATTTTTTCTAAGAGGATCGAACAATCATTATGCATCGTTATAAAATGATATCAATCTCATCATCTCAAATTCAATATAAAATATCGAAAATGTATGATAACTTTCCAACAAAACTCTATACGTACAAGATCAATCATCAAAACTTACTCAACAATAAAAAACAATCATCAATGGTCTATTCCATTAATTAATCTCATCAATCACACGTCGATGGTCCATTCTATCGACTAATTTTATGCTAATCATCGAACTATGGTCACGTTTAATTCCATGACAAAGGCGACCAAGTTTACCCCCTATGGCTAGGTCTACCATCTATATCAGCTGGCGGTTTGGTCCAGAAGGACATTTTGACAGTATGCATACTCCCCCCCTCAATGGGTTCTCATCACAGTGATGTGAGCAATATCGACCAATAACTTTCTCTAACGATCCATAATCAACACCAGAAAGCCATTTCATAAATCGATTTTACGATCCGAATCACATAACTTTTCACAATTCTATTTATCAATTAAAATGCACTTCATAAAATATTTCGTAATCAATACGAACTACTTTTGGAAATTTCTTTCACTAAACATTTAACCAAAGCATTCACAATTGGTCATTTTAGATCACTTTATAAAACATTCTCAATCCCTTTTCAATCGACTAGAAATGTAGTAAAAGTTCGATCCAATTTATACAAGAAACATGCTCTTAATAACTCATACTTTATTAAAACTCTACCATTTTCAAGACATGAGTTTGTAAATTCATGGAAGAAATAGTACCACTCACCTGGGAATGCCTCAAAACAAACAACGTGGCTAAACGCACAATGATCTTGTAATCCTATCAATTGAACGAGAATCAACGTCAAAACCAAGTAAAACATTATTTTAACTAACGACTCGACTAAGTTACATTTAATTGCTAACAAAACGACTCCCGCGGGCCCACACATCGCTCGTCCAAAGCGATTTTTCAAAGCCGTCCGCAATGCGGAGCTTAAGTGCGAAACTTGATCGCACCATAACTTTCTCCGCCGAAACCCGTTCCAAGCGAGCTTACAGTTAAAAGGAAGATCTTCCAAAGCACTAGAACAACCACAACTTGGCCGTCCCAAAATCGAACCGAAAACCGATGAAAACCGGCCTAAAAGCAGCTGGTCGCGCACTGTTCACCACGCGCGCTTAACTTCAAAAATTCGTTTCGGGCAAATGGTAAGTCCAAATTGAGTTTCGTAAAATCTCACAGCTCCATGACACCCTAAACTACCAATTCTATATATATTTGTAGTTCAACGACTCAAAAATCGGACTTTGCGGCTTGAATTTCAGCAAACTCCGAAATTATGCCATAATTCCCGAAAAATACTTAGATTGGACGAACAAGGGGCGTGAGCACTTACCGGGTGTTGCGAATCAAAGTTGAATCGGCTAGGTGAGGCGTACGTGGCAAGTACCCCTTCTTTCTTCCTTCTTCTTTCTTTCCCTCTCTCTGTTTCTTTTCTTTCTCTGAGCCCTTCTCTTTTCCCTGTTTCTTTGAGTGTTCTCTGTCCCTTTTATAAGCTGAAGACATCAACTTTCTACTTCTTTGACTTTTCACCATTTTCTTTTCTATTTGCTTCGCCCTTTTCTTTTCCTCCTTTGACTTGTTGACCGGCACTATTACAATTTCAAACGTTGGTTGCAGGCTATAAACCGCCAGTGACAGAGCCTTGATCAGAAAACATGTTCGCTGTTCTAAACACTGTCCAGCAAAGAAATTTGTGTCACTCGTGATATATGTGTGTGTGTGTCATAGTACTTGGTATGTTCTAAGCATAGCAGAACAATATTTCAGTTTCCTGTATTCCGCGCATCATCTTGCAGACATTCTCATATGTAGACTTGTCTTGATTTAGAGTGAAATAAAAACAAGATACGTTTCACAGTTTACCCTTGGAAAGTTTTTATCCGAGCACACATCTCATCACCATATTGCGCCTCAGGAAGTGGGGTCATGCTTGCGAGTCTTAGGAAAGGCAATTTGATCAGTCCACCAGAGGAGTCTCATACCTCCTTATTTGGTGGAAAAATTGTCCAAAAATTCCAGAATTTATTGTACGACGACTAACATAATCTTAAACGTTTTAATTTTGTCAATTTAGTCTTATTTCTTTTTGACAATTTACCAATGTAGTCCTTCTAGCCAATTTTGGCCGGAAATCGTTAACGTGGTAGTCCGGTCAGCACCAACCATCTTATGCGGTATGACCAACGCTAATATGGACGATTTTTGCAAGTTTTTTTGAATTTTCTGAAGTTTTACTTTTTTTTTTCTTTTTTTCCTTCGATGGATTACTGGCCGGGGGCCCACCAGTGAAAATTTGATGAAGGAAAAAAAGACAAAAAAACCACCGTACTATATTCAAAATTAGCCAAAAAAAAGGGATGCATGAACAAGGCCGTCTAGCTATAACAATGCTAATACTGCAACTGTGATATTGGTTATTTTGCAGTTGTTGGGGGCAAACCAAGCTCGAAAAAGACCTATAAACAAGTCATACTTGCCCATAGTCCATAAATGAGGGCTATAGAAATCGAGCACTGCCCGAGTCCATTCTAAGAATTCAGGGCTACTTTAATCAACTTTTGATTGTTGAGCTTTGGTAAACACCTGCCTATTTTTTATTTTTTACAAGCGAATGTACATAATATATATATATATAAGTCTAGATGTTATATCATTTGGATGTACAATGTAAAGAAGAAGATCCCTGTCAAGCAATATAGGTGTTGACGAAGAAAAGGATTTCTCACTCTGGACTTATCCACCTATTGGCTCATCCTCTTGCCCTCATCATTAGCGTGTATTCCTATTGAGTCACAGGGAGGGATGAATCTAAATCTGTGCTCTCCACTTGACTGACCAACCAGACAACATGATTTAAACCGACAGATAGAATAAAGAAACTCGCAGTTGGTATTTTAGGGCAATGCAAAACCCGAAATACACATTTATTTCCTTAAGTTGCAACCTGTCCACAGCCAACGGACTCCTTAACCTGAAATGAAACTCCAGGCATAGGGGCGGGTTCGCCGGATGCTCGTTCTAATGCTGTACCTACTATATCTAATGGATAAACAAGGGCTTATACCACTCAGGCTTCATCTTCAAGGAGGCCTTCTGCACTCTCTTTGCCTTTGCTACTTCCCCGAGCTCTCTCTTTCCATATCTTCTCCACCTCTTCAAAAGTCAACCCCTTCGTCTCTGGTACGAAGATGGCCACAAACACGATGGCCAACACAGCTACACACGCAAGAATCAAGAACGTCGCACCTGTCCCCAGAGCGTCAGTAATGCTGAGAAATGTCTGCGCCACAATCAAGTTCGAAATCCAATTGACGGTGGCCGGCATGCCACCACATATTCCACGATATGCCTCGGGGTATATCTCCGAGTTTACTGTCCATGGTACGGGTCCCATCCCGGGTGAGAAGCAAGCGATGTAGAGGGCCAAACCGATGACCACAAGCCACCCATATACCCCGTTTGCGGAATCAGAAGATTCTGCAAAGAATGCACCAGAAAGCATTGCCAAGGATGCTAATACACCGGATAAACTCGCGAGGGCCAGTTTTTTCGGACCAACATGGTCAATTAAGTAAATTCCAACGATGGTCCCCGCAGCATTCATGGCAGCGACGATCAGGGATAAGAGAAGTGCTAGCTGGTTGGAAGAGAAGCCAGCCATCTGGACTATAGTTGTGCTGTAGTACATAATTGTATTGATACCGGGGAACTGCTGAAATGCCTGCATAAGAAGGAAAAACATCTTCAGATCAGAGAAACTGGAGGAAGCATTATATTACTTCCATAGTATGAGGCTTGCGTCGTTCTCCCCAAGTCCATTGACATTTGTCAGCCTCCTTGGATTATCGACTGCTTTATTCACCTTGGAATTGAGCAAGCAAGTTCATAGCCTCTTAAGTAAATCTGGAATTTCTATGGACTTATTTGCAGGGAGTTCACTGATCAATGTTTATTCCAAGTCTTCTTTAGTCTGAGACGCGAGGCTAGTATTTGAAGAGAGGAACGATAGAGATATTGTAGTTTGGAAGGCAATGTTCTTTGGATATTGTCAGCAAATGGAAAATGAGGAGACCTTCAAATCGTTCTCAGAATTACTGTTATCCGAACAACGACCCAACGACTTCACGTTTGCTTCCCTTATCACAGCAGCAAGTAATTTAGCAAGTCTCCAACATGGTCGACAGTTCCATAGCCAGATTATAAAGTGCGGTTCGGATTTTGACCCATTTGTTGCGAATGCTCTTGTGGATATGTATGCTAAACGCGGAAGTATTCAGGAGGCCAGGAAAGCATTTGACCTCGCTATTTGTGAAGATGTTGCATGCTGGAACTCCTTGATCACAACAAATGCTCAACATGGAGAAGCACAGGCTGCTCTCCAGATATTTGAGGAAATGATAATCGCAGGAGAGAAACCAAATTACATCACATATGTGGGCATCCTCTCTGCAAGCCGCCATGCAGGGCTTGTGGAAGATGGATTGCATCATTTTAACTCAATGCCTGGGCTTGGAATTGAACCTGGGATCGAACATTATGCTTGCATGGTCTCCCTTTTTGGCCAAGCTGGTAGACTAAAGGATGCTGTGGATTTCATTGAGACAATGCCAATTCAACCAATGGCGCTGGTATGGAGGAGCTTGCTCGGTGCTTGCAGAAATGCCGGCGACAGTGAATTAGGAAAGTATGCTGCCGAGATGGACGAGAATGGACGAGACTGGGGTCCTAAAAGAACCAGGAAAAAGTTGGATAGAAGTTAACGTCCACACCTATTTTTAATTTTGCCCAAAATTAATTATGCAAAATTTTAAGGGTTAATGTCCTTAATTTCTAAAATAAAAATATTTAATATTTAACAGCATTGCATATAGACATCAGGTGTATTTTACATTATTAGAATGTATTTTTCTTCTTTTAATTAAAAATAAAAAATTGATTAAAAAAAAAACTGATCGGGCCGGCCTTGCCGGCCCAATCCAACCCCCTCTCCCTCTTCCCCTCTACCGCGCGCAGCCCACAACTCTCTCTCTAGTGCGCGCGACCGACGGCCACGAACCACTTCCTTCCTCCTTCCCACGGCCCAATCTTTCCCTTCCTCTTTCCCCACTCAACCCAGCCCCTCTCCCTCTCTCCTCTTCCCTTCCCTGTTTCCAGGGAAACCGAGATGCAGAGGAGCAAAGCTTGCCTCCCTACACCGGCTTAAAATGGCCACGAAAGTCAAGGACGCAGAGTAGGCCGGTGTAGGCCATTCAATGGCGAGTTAATGGAGCAGAAGCAGTTGGTTGTCGACCATAAAAGGCCACTGTGAGAAAGAAAGAAAGAGAGCAGAGAAAGAGAGAGTGAAATCGAGAGATTTAGAGAGAGTTTTAAGGGAAATAGAGGGTGAAGAAAAGTGAACTTTCAATGTCTGAAAGTCGCAAAGGGAAGTAGCCAGCCTTGCCGTTTCCCGCAGACCGACCGACGACTCCCCAGAAGCGGCCCCGATCAGTAAGTTTTTCTCCGGTCCCTTCTTTCCTCTGTTATCCCCTGTTTTGTTTCACAGGTCGGCCGGGACTCGCGCCGATCATTTCACGCGAATCTCGGCCAATACCGGTCCTTCTCATAGTCCACAAGTCATCTTCGAAGGTAAGTATGGGTCATCAGAGGAGGCCGGAACCTCAAAACAGGTCGGAGTTCCCTGTTTTTGTCTATGAGTGCCAACTGTTTGACGAAATGCCCAAATGAAGGCCGAAACTATCGTCATTGAAAGTTGGTCCCGTTATCTTCGTTTCACGCTTCGTTTACGCTTGAATCGACATTCCCTGCCTACCTTTGTGTTTTTTTGTGTTTTTACGCCACGGTTCGCACATGTCTGAGTTGGCCACGCGTACGCATCCCTTCGCCGGAGACATTTTCCTGCAACGACGAAGCCCGCGAGTGGTGGCCGACGGAGTGGTGACGGCCGGCGAAGGTGTGCGGTTGGTGGTGGTCGTCAGTGTTAGTGGTAGTCGCCCGTGGCCGGAAGTGAAGAAGTCTCATCGCGGGGCCTCGATGAAACTTTGGTGATGGAGGTGCTCTCGGGGAAGAAGACGTCCCAAAGAAGAAGACCAAAGAAAAAAATGATTAAAAAAGAAAAGAAAAAGAAAAGCAAAAGAGAAAAAGAAAATATAGAAATGGGATTTTGTGTAGCATGGGCTCTAAGCTTGTGGGCTGAATAATGTTTGGGCTTAGAGAATTGTGGGCCTGTTTTACATTTTAAATCAAATGTTGTTTGGGCTGAATTTAGTTGATTCAGACCGAGCCCAAAGTTGGTCCGAATTCTAGGCCCAACCCGGATCCGATTATTATTATATTATTATTTTTAATATTAAAATATTTTTTTAAAAAAATGAAAATTCGAAAAAGAAAGAAAGGAAATAGCCTAAATAGCCAGACTTTGAGTAATTTTCCTTAAAAAATGTAAAAATCTTTCAAAAAAAAAAGTGCTCAAATTGAACAAGCTTTTAGGGCTATACCACAAGGTTTTGAATATCCTAAAAATGAATGCCACGTTGTTATTTATGCAATTTATTTTGATAATTTATTTGATTGCATGATTTCGATATTTTGAATGTCATCTCCCTAGTTAGGATTAGAACCCTAAGTTGCATATTTATCTTGACTGCCGATCATTAGCTTAATGATTATACACTCGCTTGATCACCTCATATGTTAAATAAAATCAATCCAAACTGTATGACAAATATTTTCTAAAATGAACAGTATGAACGGTACCGAAAGGGCACTAGTCACTCAACTAGTGTAACAAAGTTCCTGAACTCATTTAATCTTTGGTTCGTAGGAGTATGGTGATTCTCCCGTCACCTTACTTGGGTTTTTAATCGGCCCACCCCAAATTGATTAGTAGCGACTCCTCGATAAAAATCACTTGCGGATTAAAAATATAAACCACAATTCGCAATATGGTATAGGCTTGGAAGAGCCCAAGTTAAGTCCCAGACCTAGACTTAGCGCGTACCAGGCTACGCAATTGTCCCTCTCCGAAGAAAATTTGGCAAGTCGCGACAGTTGATAATGAGGTTCATGTGTTTGTTGCTAGAGACCAAACTCATTATGAGGCTGATTTGATTTTTTTAGTTTTGGACTATTTAATTCTTCAGATAAAAGAGATCGGTTATGTGCCAGACAATGTTGCGGTTATCATAGACGATTGACTGACAATCTGTAACGGCACAATATTATTCTGCAAATGCTCTCATTCTGAGTGCCCTTCCAGTTGTATGCTGCTAGAACATGATCAATCTTCTTGAAGTATGCACATCATCTGACTTGGGCTTTCCATCGGATATGTTGAGACATGAGATCCCTTATTGTGGTGTGAGGACGATATTTCTCTAGAGAAGCAGCTGCTAGGATGCAAGTTGGAATTGTCATCATTAAGTGGTGATATTGATGATTTTGGAGGGTCCTGTACTAATGTTTTGGTTCACTGGATGCAAATTAATCCTTGTCATTGAAGTTGCAAGATGCGTCCAAACATTTATGAGGAGACTTGAGTCGTGAGGAATTGACGTGATTCTATGACTTCTAATGGCACGGTTGATTCGTGAAGATTGGATGAACTAATGAGCTATGCCCTTTTTGTAGTTTAGATGGGTCAATTAATTGTAGAAGAGGGCAACTGACCTGTTCCTGAGGGATAGGGAGATTAACCCACTGCCAGTAGCCACACAAGATGGCCGACCATGGTAGTCCCTTGGTGGAGACTCACTCTGTTAATGCAGTAGGTCAACATGATGAGTTTTAGGTTGACCAACTACGAAGAATGACAAACTTGAGAGGTAGTTTCTTGTGGATCTTATGACAGCTTGATCAAACCCACCTTTACTATTTTATGTATGATTACGATAGAATCAGTTGAAGAGCAACACTTGGTTTTTCAACTAGTGATAAATAAGGAAGAACTCAGAATTTGCAAGTAATTTTTCGTATCTGATATTGCCAGCTCCTCTGTCAACAACTTTGACAGATCAGTACTCACAATGGCTGCACAGAGAGAATAGCATTTACATTTAGGTCTTATTACTTCTCTGTACAAGTCTAAGTTACCTCAACTAGTCACTACATTTTTCCCGCTCTTTTCTCCCTTCTTTTTTCAAAGACTTTCGTGCTACTAAACATGCAGGACACTGGAGAGGATGGATCAATGTGCTTCAACTGATCCGAAGACAATTCACGATCTTTCTAGTTTTTTATAATGAGAAAATTCTTCGAGAGTTGTTTCTTTAACCTCTTGCATTTTTCATTTTGATATCTTCGTCTTTGGCAACTTTGAGACCAAGCTTGAACTTGATATGATTTCCCTTCACGATATCTGCCATATTTCGTAACGTTGATGTGAACATAACCAAACAATTGGCTGCGACCCAAATCCGACCCGACCGACCCGTTCAACAGGTCTAGTGCTAACCCATATTTAATGCAGAGATCTCAAGGGGCCTAATCCATGACTTGGGAGGTCAAAACTTAGGCTGAGTATCCCTTGACCAGACTGGCTTTAGGGGCGTTCAGTACATTTTTGGTTCATTTTCAGCCTCTCCAAGTCGGTTGCAATGATGTATCCTTATGTGTTTTAGGGTCTATTTTAGATTAGTTCTAAAACTAATTGTGGCCATTTTTACGAAAGTATATATGTTGAGACGTTCAAACAAATTTAATTTCATAAAATTCTTTTAAACCCACACGGGCATGTGACTAGTTCCT